CTTCGCTCTGCATATGCGGGGTCGTGGCACTTGGGCCAGCTTGCCGCCCAGGGATCGCCCCTTGCACGTCGTTTAGTTGTTACTGTTGCATGCCTTGCTTACGCGTCGGACCTCGCGTCGAACAATCCTTTCTCTCCTTCCCCTCTTCCCTCTGTGTTCGTGCCTCCTTTTTATTATTCTGTTATTGTTAGTCACCGCAACCACGGTCGTGCGTTGTCGGTCCCACGGCGTTCGGGCCTCGCGCTATTTCGATGACGCGCGCCGTCGTCTCTTGAGTGTTTGCTCGATCAGTGAGTGTTTGCTCGATCAGTCGTTGGTCCCCAGCTCTTCTTCATATTACACGCTCCGCCCTAACTGGTGGTTTTAGAGTGTGGCTGGGGCGTGCCTCGGCTTTCGCCCGCCCTGCCCGCCTTAGCAAATGCTTCCTTTCTCGTCCCCTCGTTTTTCCATGTTTGCCCTGCATGCAGCGCTCTCGTTCCTCTTTGAAGCCACAGATCATCGCATGAGTTTGCGAAAGAGCGTGTTCTACCGCTGCTGGCGGAAAACCGAGGGGGGGGGTAGGGGGTCATTGGGGGTTCCTAACCCGTCCCCCCCCCCCTCGAAAACCGGAGGGGGGTCACTACAGGTTCGACCCCCCCCCCACTCGAAAACCCGGGGGCGTCACTACCAGCTCGAACCCCCCCCCCCCTCGCCGCCGGCAAACAATTCCTGCTTCTCGGGACAGTTGGACAGTGGTGGGGATACTGGACAGTGGTGGGAACGGTGGTGGTGGGGACAGTGGTGCGGGGACAGTGGGACAGTGGTGCGGACAGTGGTGGGGACGGTGGGGACAGTGGTGAGGGGACAGCGGGACAGTGGTGGGGACAGTGGGACAGTGGTGGGGACGGTAGTGGTGGGGACAGCGGTGAAGGCGGTGGTGAGGACAGTGGTCGGACAGTAGTATAGTTAGTGGGGAGAGTGGTGGGGACAGTGGGACAGTGGAGGGACAGTGGGGACAGTGAGACAGTACACGGGGACAAAGGCGGGGACAGTGGGGAAGGTGGGACAGTGGTGGGAACAGTTGGGACAGTGGGACAGTGGTGGGGACCGTGGGGAAAGTGGGGAGAGTGGGACTGTGGTGGGACAATGGTGGGGAGAGTGGGGACAGTGAGACACTGGTGGGGGCACTGGTGGGGACAGCAGGGACAATGGCGGGAACAGTGGGGACAGTGGGACAGTGGTGGGGACTGTGGGACAGTGGTGGGAACGGTGGTGGTGGGGACAGTGGAGTGGGGACAGTGGGAATGTGGTGGGGACAGTGGGACAGTGGTGGGGACAGTGGGACAGTGGTGGGGACGGTAGTGGTGGGGATAGTGGGGGCAGTGTTGGGAACAGTGGGACAGCTCAGTGGGACAGCGGCGAGTAGTGGGGACAGTGGGACGGTGGGGACAGTGGGGACAGCGGGACAGTGGTGGGGACCGTTGGGAAAGTGGGGAGAGTGGGACCGTGGGGGGAACAGTGGTGGGGACAGTGGGACACTGTGACAGTGGTGGGGGCACTGGTGGGGACAGTGGGGACGGTGGTGGGAACAGCGCGGACAGTGGTGGTGAGGACAGTGGTGCTGGGGACAGCAGCGGGGGATGTGGTGCGGACGGTGGTGGGGACCGGGGAGTCGTCTGCCGATACTGGACAGTGGTGGGGACGGTGGTGGTGGAGACAGTGGTGCGGGGACAGTGGGACAGTGGTGCGGACAGTGGTGGGAACGGCGGTGGTGGGGACAGGGGTGAGGGGACAGCGGGACAGTGGTGGGGACACTGGGACAGTGGTTGGGACGGTGGTGGTGGGGACAGTGGTGAAGGCGGTGGTGAGGACGGAGGTGGGACGGTAGAACAGTGGGGAGAGTGGTGGGGACAGTGGGACAGTGGTGGGGACAGTGGGGACAGTGGGACAGCACAGTGACAGCGGCGGGGACAGTGGGGACAGTGGGACAGTGGTGGGAACAGTGGGGGCAGTGGGAGGGAATGTGGTGGGGACAGTGGTGGTGGGGACAGTGGTGAGGACGGTGGCGAAGACGGTGGTGGGACAATGGGACAGAGGTATAGTGGGGACAGTGGTTGGGACAGTGGGGACAGTGGTGGGAACAGTGGGACAGCTCAGTGGGACAGCGGCGGGGACAGTGGGACAGTGGGACGGTGGGGACAGTGGGACAGTGGTGGGGACCTTGGGGAAAGTGAGTGGGGAGAGTGGGACCGTGGTGGGAACAGTGGTGGGGACAGTGGGGACACTGTGACAGTGGTCGGGGCACTGGGGGGGACAGTGGGGACGGTGGTGGGAACAGCGGGGACAGTGGTGGTGAGGACAGTGGTGCTGGGGACAGCGGTGGGGGATGTGCTGCGGACGGTGGTGGGGACCCGGGAGTCGTTTGCCGGCGGTGAGTGGGGGGGGGGTTCGAACCGGTAGTGACCCGCCCCCGTTTTCGAGGGGGGGGGGTTCGAACGGGTAGTGGCTCTTCCAGTTTTCGAGGGGGGGGTACGGGTTCGAACCGGTAGTGAACCCCTCCAGTTTTCGGGGGGGTCGGGTTCGAACCGGTTATTGACCCGCCCCGGTTTCCCCCCCCCCGTTTCTGAAAAGGGGGGGTAGGGGGGGGAGGGGGGGTTGCCGGGGAGAGGGGGGAAGGGGGCGGGGGGGAGGGGTTCCAGCGGGGGGGTGGGATTTTCGGAGGGGGGGGGACCTGGGTTCCGGAGGAAGAGGTGGAATAATTTTCCACAGTGCAGCGGCGGTGGATCACGCTCTCTCGAGTTTGCCTATCACAGGTCGGTTCTTGTAGTGTTTCCATTTTGCCTGGCGTCTTCATGATTCGCACGTCGGGCGAGGCCGACTGTGGTGAAGTTAGATGGTCGCGTTTACTCTTCCTCTTCATCACCCCGAACAAAAAAAAACATCATGTCCAGACGTCGTGCGTTTGGCGGCGTCGATGAGATCTCGCCAGCCGCGTATCGCCGCTGGCGCCTCAAGATGACAATCTGTCGTCCTGCGTAAAGAGGCAGGTGCGCTGCGCTCTGGCGGCGGGAGGGAGAGAGGACGTTTTCTGTTGTTCTCTCTCTCTCTCTCTCTCCTCTCCTGGTGCCCCGCCATCTCAGATATTATAGGAGCTTGTTCCTGCTAGCCAGGGGAACGGAGTGCCGTTCCTGCACGCAGTCGGGAATGCATGGGCTGATCTGTTCGCCAAGCTCGCGTCCCGTGAAGGTTCGGCTTCGGATGCCCGAGTACGCTTACAAAGGTGCCCATCATGTTTCGCGTGGGCCTGGAGAAGAGCTTTGGCCATTGGGTTCTGCAAGATGAGCATGGGAATCCGCGAGCCCCGAGGCCCCACCCCAACGACCCCGCGCTTGTTGACACGCACGCGTTTCGATGCTTTCTGACCCAGTGGAGGTGCCACGCGTGTAATGTCTCGACGATGTCCCATTAAGTTATAGTCTCGAGCCGCACGATGTCCAGACTCAACGATTGGAAGCCGAGCGATGTCCAGAGGTGGCAGACTTGTCTTTCTCCCTTGGACGTCTCCCGAGGTGTGGCTCTGGGTGGGGGGGTCCAAGAGGGGGGGTCCAAGAGAGCTGTAGCGCTGGGTCGAGGTCGGGCCATGATGTGCGAACCTCCCTCTTGGACGCCCCCTAGGGTTGGGGGGGGGGTCCAGTGCGCGCGGTTCTGGGGAGCGAGGCGCCTTTAGGCTGAGCTGGGACCGTCCCCCCCCGCGGGCTCTGGGCTTGCGGCCGGATCTGGCGGCGTGGGGGCTGCCAGCGCGGCGCGACCCTGGGGAGCGATCAGGCCCTGCTAATCTGGGCGCTTTCCGCTCGCGATGATGGGCCCACCGCGTGTGCCGAAGACCCGCGCCAACCATCGTCCGAAGATCGCCAGGTTGGAGCGAGGCCGGCATCCTGCTCAATGGTGAAGTGGTGCCTTTTGATCGACAGACGCCACTCGTGACAAGTCTTGCCCAGGTAGTGGTGTTCGGGCAATTTGGACGCGTCACTTCATGGGTCGTTGCTTCCTCCCTCTTCTTTCTCCTCCTCCCTCTCCCCTCCCCTCCTCCCCCTCCCCTCCCCCTCCCCCTCCTCCTCCTCCTCCTCCTCCTCCTCCTCCTCCTCCTCCTCCTCCTCCTCCTCCTCCTGCATTTCTCAATAACTCCTCCTTGTCGCACCCCGAGGCCAGTCGACAGGGTGGGCTTGGCGTTCCACCTGAGACTTCCTCACCATTTATGGCCTTGACGCTCAAACATTGGCAAAAGTTTCATCGATGGAGGGCGGGTCGTTTTCAGAATGAAGCTCTTGCTGTAGCGCCGCGCAAATTCTTTGTAAACATTTGCAAGAGCTTCACGAATTGAGGGCGGGTCGTTTTCAAATGTGATTATCGCCAAAGCGACGCGGAAAAAAAGGACAGAGTTTCACGCATTGAGGGCGGGTCGTTTTCAAAATGTTGTTCTCGCCTTTTCGCTGCACGCGTTCGTTTAACACATTTGCAAGAGCTTCACGGATTGAGGGTTATTCGTTTTCAAAAGGTGGTTCTCGCCTTTTCGCCGCGCACATTCGCTCCAAACATTTGCAAATGATTCACGGATTCACACCGTCAACGTGCCAGACATTGTGTCTTGCAAGGAATCAGGATTGATGGCGCAACAGTTACGTTGATTCGCGGTGTTGAAGTCCCAGGAGTGATGTTCTGGCAGGATTCCGGATCGTCAAGACGCAGCAGTCATGCTGATTCACGGCGTTGGAGTCCCGAGAATACTCTTTTGGCACGTTTCAGGGTCTTCAAACAGTTCTCTCTTTACTAGGCTGTTCGCTTCGTGGAAATGAACCATTGTAGAGGCCTGTGAAGAGGGAGCTTCGAGGGAGGGTTTATTCCAGCATTGTTGGCGAGTCTTGGGTTTCCACTGGTCCTCCTCCTTCCTCGTCGTTCCTTCTCGTCTCGTCCTTCGTGTGTTGGCTCTCCCCTCATGCGCGGAGGGGGGTTGAGGGAGGGAGGACCCGCGACGGCGACAGCGCCCCAGCGCGGGCATGCGCCCGGGGATGTCGGTTGCCGTCGCGGCCAACGACTCCGTGCTCTGGCTGGATGACCCCGAGGCGGCCCTTCTCCTCTTGGTTGGTTACCTCGGCGCAGGAAAGCAAAGGCCGTCACTCCAGACGGCCGCCCTCCTCATCTTCCTCACCTTCGTTAACCCAGGGTCCTCGTACCCCCCTCAGATCGTGCCCCGCAAACTCAAGTCGTGACGGTCAGCTCTTCCACGCTTTCGGGCTCAGGCCGTTTCCCAACCCCGCGGCCCTCCCAAACATGGCTAGGTAAGAGAACCCAGCCCAGGGACGGGATTGAGATCCCTAGGCAAACGTCACGACACAAATGCAACATCGGAGGAGAGCGTCGTCGTCTCCCTCATCCCATGTTTATCCTCTTGCACAGTCGTGTTCTAGAGATCGAACCTCTGTATTTTCGTTCGTCGGTCGTTCGTGGTTCGTCGTCGTCTCCCTGGCTCTGGCCCCCCTCCGCTGGGCCCCTCGCCACACCCCATACTTCTAGCCCCTGGTCCCAGTCCCAGCCCCGTGGCCCTGGACCCCTGGATCCAGCCTCCCCCCTGGCCCTGGCCCCAGACCGAGCCTCCGCTCCAGCCCTGGTCCAAGCACCCCTCGGCCCGGACTCTTCGTTTCGTTCGGTTCGTGGTTCGTCGTCTTCCCTCTGGCTCTGGCCCCCATCCCCTGGGCCTCTCCACCCCGTCCCAGACCTCTAGCGCCTGGTCCCAGTCCCGTGGCCCTGGCCCTGGACCCAGCCTCCCCCCTGGCCCTGGCCCCAGACCGAGCCTCCACTGTGGCCCTGGTCCAAGCACCCCTCGCTCCAGACCATTTTTTTCGCTCGTGGTTTGTTCGCAGTTCGTCGTCTTTCCTCTGGCTCTGGTCACCCTCCCCTGGGCCCCTTGCCCGAACCCAGACCCCTGGCCCCTGCTCCCAGTCCCAGCCCCCAGCCCCCTGGCTCTGGCCCTGGACCAAGCCGCGCCCCCCAGGCATTGGCCCCAGACCCAGCCTCCCCCCTGGCCCTCGCCCCAGCTCGCCCCGCCGTGAACCCTTTATTTTCGTTTGCGTTTAGTTCGTGATTCGTCGTCGTCGTCCCCCTGGTTCTGGCCCCTCTCCCCTGGGCCCCTCGTCCCAACCCAGACCTCTGGCCCCTGGTCCCAGTCCCAGCCCCCTGGCCCTGGCCCTCGACCCAGCCTCCCCCCTGGCCCTGGCCCTGGACCCAGCTTCCCTCTGGCCCTTGCCCTCTTCCCCCCAGGTGAGGACCATCATAGGCCTTACCAGTGAGGACCACCATGAGGCCTCACACCCCTCGCAGTTTCCATCATTGGGACTGCGGGGGTCGAACCACATCCCCACAAACCTGGCAACGTACGTGCAGTGCCAGGGGCGGCGGCCCGTCTTCCCATCCCACCATCATACGGGGATGCGAAGTCCCTGAAGACGGGACGGGGTGGGCACGAGCGGGCATCATAGCCGGCTCAAAATCAAAAGAGGCATCATAGCCTCATCAATCTAGATTGATCCACTCACGGATCCACTGCAGTTGATTTTCATTGAACTCATTCCATGCGTAGCATGCTCTCCCCTCGCCCTGGACCTTTTGTTTTCGTTCGTGGTTTGTTCGTGGTTCGTCGTCGTCCCCATGGCTATGGCCCCCCCTCCGCCTAAGCGTTTCGCCCTGACCCAGACCTCTGGCCCCTGGTCCAGTCCCAGCCCCCTGGCCCGGGACCCAGCCTCCCCCCTGGCCCTGGCCCCAGACCAAGCCTCCGCTGTGGGCCTGTTCCCAGCAGCCCTCGCCCCAGACCCTGTATTTTCGCTCGTGGTTCGTTCGTGGTTCGTCGTCGTCCCTCTGGCTCTGACCTCCCTCCCCTTGGCCTCTCCACCCCGCCCCAGACCTCTAGCGCCTGGTCCCAGTTCCAGCCTCGTGGCCCTGGCCCTGGAACCGGCCTCCCCCCTGGCCCTGGCCGCAGACCGAGCCTTCGCTCTGGGCCTTTTCCCAGCACCCTTTCACACTGGACCCTCCATTTTCGTTCGTGGTTCGTGCGTGGTTCGTCGTCTTCCCTCTGGCTCTGGACCCCTTCCCTGGGCCTCTCCACCCCAACCCAGACCTCTAGCGCCAGCCCCCCGCCCCCTGGCTCTGGCCCTGGACCCAGCCGCCCCCCTGGCCCTGACCCCAGGCCGAGCCTCCGCTCTGGCCATGGTCCAAGCATCCCTCGGCCCGGACTCTTCATTTTCGTTCGTGGTTTGTTCGCAGTTCGTCGTCGTCCCCCCAGCTCGGATCTCCTTCCCCTGGGCCCCTTGCCCGAACCCAGTCCTCCGGTCCCTGCTCCCAGTCCCAGCCCCCTGGCTCTGGCCCTGGACCAAGCCGCCCCCCCAGGCCTTGTCCCCAGACCCGGCCTCCCCTCTGGCCCTCTTACTCCTCCTCCTCCTCCTCCTCCTCCTCCTCCTCCTCCACAATTTCTCAATATGAATACTACTCTCCCTCTTGCCCTGATGACGTCTTTTGCGTATTCGCCCCCCCCCCCCGCGTACTGTTTTACACACACACACACACACACACACACACACACACACACACACACACACACACACACACACACACACACACACACACACACACACACACACACACACACACACACACACACACACACACACACACACACACACACACACACACACACACACGATTCCCCGGAGTTGGGTTTTCGCCTGCGTTTTTTTTCAAAATGCTGCTCTCGCTGAGGCGCCGGCCTCATTTCTGCTCCCGAATCGTTCCGAATCGTGCTCCCGCTGCAGCGTGGGCCTCATTTTCGGATCGGTGTTTTGCCTCCGTCGTTCAGGATGGCGTTCTCGCCCCAGCGCGGGCCTCTTTCTCGCGCGCCCATCCGCCCGCCACCACCGCGCCGCACCACGCCCCGCCCCGCCGCACGCACACCCACCGCCACTTCCACCCACCAACGCACGCACGCACGCACGCGCACCACCACCGCGCACCGCCACCACCACCGCACTACCCCACCCACCACCACCACGCTACACCGCGTCACACCACATCACACGCGCGCACACACAGACACACACGCACGCACGCACGCACGCACGCACGCACGCACGCACGCACGCACGCACGCACGCACGCACGCACGCACGCACGCACGCACGCACGCACGCACGCACGCACGCACGCACGCACACACACACACACACACACGCACACACACACACACACACACGCACACACACACAGACACACACACACACACCACCACCGCCACCACCACCACCACCGCCATCACGCACGTACGCACCTGGCCCACCACCAAACCACCAAGACGCCACACCACGTCACACCACAGCACACGCGCACACACGCACACACACACACACACACACCACCACACAACCACAACCACGCACACACGCACGCACGCACGCGCACCACCACCCACTACGCACACGCGCGCGGAGCCACAGGTCCGCTACGACACGCGTCCGCGGATAGAGAAAATCAGCGCCATGGTAAGGGATGGGAGGGAGGGGTAGGATGTCAGATGTTGACGCGCGCGCACCTACTTGTCCTCCTCCTCCTCCTCCTCCTCCTTCTCCTTCTCCTTCTCCTTCTCCTTCTCCTCCTCCTCCTCCTCCTGCCCCTCCTCCTCCTCCTCCTTGTCCTCCCCTTTCCCCTCCTCCTTCTCCTCGTCCTCCAGAGGTGCGTTCTGGTTAGAATTTTGAGCGGTGGCAGCGAGACGCCCGCCTCCACCCTCGATCCTCGATCCACCTCCACTTCGTCGTCTTCACCCTTGTCCCCCCTCGTCCACTCCTCCTCGTCTTGGTCCTCGTTCTCCTCCTGCTCCTCCTCCTCCCCCCCTCCCCCTCCGCCCCCCGTCCCTTCGATCGTCCTGCTCGTCCTCAGCCCACTCCATCCCCCCAGTCCCTCCCCTCCTCCCGAGTCCATGCGCGAGAAGCAGCGCAGCCTCAGGGCGGCCCGGGACGCGCTCAAGCGCGAGGGGCTTGCGCTCCGCGCCGAGCTGCGGGGCAGAGAGGCGCAGAGCCTGATGAAGGACGGCCTGCTGCACGAGAGCCGTGGTCGGTCGGCCGACCCCCGAGGGCCCAGCGCCGAGGCCCGAGAGATCGAGGCTCGACAAAGGCGCAGTACGGCTCGGCCCCGGGGCCGCCCGAGACGATTCAGAAGGGACGAGAGCCTGGGCAGGATGTATCCCCGGGAGGGGTCTTGGGACAGATTTAGGACGGACCTCAGGGGGATGGAGCGGTGAGGTCGTGAGGAGCACATTCGCTCTACAGGTTTCCATCTGTCGCAGAGGGTGCAGGTCGGTTCCTTCTCATGACAGTGCTCTTGCTTCAGATGTGTTCATTCGCTTACGACGCAGAGCGTATACATGTGCAGCATTTACAAGGATGGAGGACGGCTTCTTTCAAAACTGGACTATCGCTTCGGACTTCTGCAACGTGGTGAGACACGACGTTTGACAATGTGGAACAGTTGCAGGGATGTAGGGCTTTCCCTCGTCAGTACGTGATTCCCGCATGAGACGTCCGTAACTTGTGGAGTTTGCGATGCGATACCGAAGCGTCTGTTAAGTTTGCACGGGCGGAGGGCGGTTCCTGTTTGACAGATAGGTTCTCGCTCCCTGCTTCCTCCATCAGTAAGGCCCAAGTAATAAGTACATGCGACAGTCACAACAGCATATGGCCGCTCCTTGGTAAGTCAGAGGTGTCGCCTGACATGTTCAGTTGTCCTACGGCCCGACGTGCAATCATGGGCAGCGCTTGCAAAGGTGGTTCTTTTTCAAAGAGGGGCTCTGGCTCCAGACGTCTTCCACATTTTACGGCACCACGTGTAAGCATGTGCAGTCGGTACAAGGATGAAGTACTTGCTTGTCAAAGCCGGGTTCTCTCTTTATCTTTCTTTTCATGTGTGTTTTCGACCCAGACTGCAAAAACAAGTGCGACGTATGCAAGGATGGAGGGCGTCTCCTCCTCAACACGGGGATCTCGCTTGAGACTTCTCCATGCTGTTGTAACCCGAAATGTAAGCATGCACATCAGCTGCAGGTAAGGAGGGCGGTGTCTTCTCCAAAGGAGGCTCTCGATCAAGGCTTCCGCAACCTCGTCGACCCGACGCATAGCATGGAGCAGCCGTTGAATGGTTGGAGGGTGGCCCCTTTCAAAACGGGGCCCTCGCTGGACTCCTGTCCTGGTCCCGTTGGCGTTCCTCGGGCAGCTGCTGTTTCAAAGCGGAGGCGCCCAGATGGCAGACCCGCGGGGCGCTCGTCCTGCGAGGGTGCTCCCCGCATGGAGTAGGCATGCTGGACCCAGGAGGGAACCGGAACGGGAGGGTGTATCACAGCATCATCGATGCATCCTGGTTTTTTTCTGGTCCTCCTCCTCCTCCTCCTCCTTCTCCCTCTGGGGCACGGGCGCCGACTGTGTCTAGTGATGCAGACGGGCCGCTTGAGCCCATCCGCGGCCACCATATTGTTACGGAGGGCCAATTCGTGTTTTGTCTTACCCGCGGGGGATTTGCCTCCACTAGGCAATCCCCTGTTTTACTGTCTGATTGCAAAGGCCCAGTAACCTGGGAAGCCACTCGTGCCCGCACGACGGCCTGAAGAAATCGTAGGGCCAAGTGCCACCCGCTGACGGGCGTTCCCCTCAGCGGTGGCAGCAAGTGCTGCTTTAGGTTTGCCGTCTTCTCATTATTTCGTGGCCTGACTCGTTAGCTTCTGCTTTCGGCGCGGAGTGATCGGAGCCTCGGGTCCCCCTTCCTCCCCCCTCTCCACGCCCGCGGTGGAGCGCGCGCGGGGTGGGGGAAGGAAAGAAGTCGGGACATTTCGGCGACGACGAAGTCGAGGATCGCGCGACGAGCGAGCGATGGCGCCACCAAGGCCCCGAGGCCTCCCGCGACCTACCCTAGCAGACATTTGCCCTGCTATGAACGTGAAGTGACCCACTCACCGTATGTGGGGCTCCAGGAGCAGCCGAGCAGACCCTCCAGCACAGTGCGGGCTGCCCTCCGGCTCCCCGCGAGGGCCCTCGCCTTGGAGGTCTCCGGACGCACGCCTCCAGAGGTCCCCGGTGGCCTCCAGTGCCTCCAGCAATTTCGAAAAATCGACCCAGAGACTTCGGCAGGGTCTGTCTGGCTGGCTCCTAGCCCCCCGTGGCGCCCCCTGTCGACTACACGTCAGAGTGACCTTGTGCCGGAGTGACCTTGGGTGCGGGTCCACTGGTGCCCCCCGATCGCCGAACGCAAGCGATGCGGTAGGAGTGTCTTGCACGCTTGTGTTTGGTTCCCCCGCACCCAGGGTAACCCTTGCGTGTAGCCAATCCTGGCTGGCCGACGGACCACGGGCGCGAGATGCTGTCTACGCAGATCTCGGGCCCCGGCAGCGGCGGCGAGAGGTTCGACCAGTTGCGGGAGGACCTGCAGGTGTGCCTGCAGCTGAAGCGCGCGGTGCACGAGGCGCGGGGCTGCCTCGACGGCGTTGAGCAGAGGGAGGCGGATTGCAAGGAGGAGCTCAAGGCTCCCTCTCCGCCTCCGCCTTCTCCCCCTCCTCGTCGTTGACCTCCGCATCCGCCTTCCCTCCCCCATGTCCTCTCTACCGTACTCTCCTCTTTTCGCCTGCTTCCCCTCCCCCCTCTACCGCCATCCCCCTCCACCGTGCCTATCCCGAAGTCGGGCATGTCCCTTTACTGGAGGAATATTCAAGAGTAGTCAAAGTCTGGTGGCGATTTGTCGTGCTCTTTTGATGATGTTTTATTTGTGTTTGGGGCATTTGTTCCAAAATGCGCATGTAGAACGACATGCCCGACCTTATTCTACCTCCATCCCCCTCCACCCTGCCTATCCCCTCTTTCCCCCTCCTGTCCCCCTCCCCCCCTCTCACCCTCCGCACCCCGCCCTCCCCCTCCCCCCCGTCCTTCGCTCAGGGCGGCGCCGACAAAGTCAGAGACCTGGAGAGAGCCATCGAAGAGGCCAAGAAGCATGCGAAGGCAAAGGCAGACGCGTGGGTGGAAGTCAACTCTGGTGACAAGGAAGGGACGGCGCTGGCGGTCTTTCCTCTGTCCTCCTCCTCCTCCTCCTCCTCCTCCTCCTCCTCTTCATCCTCCTCCTCTGTCCTCCCATGTCCTCCTCCTCCTTCTCCTCCTCCTCCTCCTCCTCTGTCTTCCTCGCCCTCCTCCTTACAGTGGAGACCCATGCCAAGAAGCGCCCTGCTCACCTCCAGGGTGCCCTGGGTTTCTTAGGTGCATAGTTCACTTGTGAACGGGGGTGCAATGAGGGCGGGCGGCTTGGGTGTGCAGCGAGGCGCGCACTTGTCGTGGCCATTTTGGGTCCAGTCGCGCCCGCTCTGATTCAGGGGGGGGTTCTTGTACTTTCTTTCCTTGCCAGGCTCAGCTCACACCTACCGCGGGGGGAATGGCGGATCCACTGCTGCCTCCGGCCTGCCTGGCAGTTGACCTCAACCTCGGTGGTTCTGAGGGCTCCCTTGCACAGGCGAGGGCGGCCGCGCCGCCCATGGGGCCTATTCCGCCGCCGGGGCCTGTGGGGGGGGGGGGCGCCCCCGCCGCTCCCGCACCAGCATCCGGCGCTGTTCCTGGCGAGGCCTCCGGGGGTTCCCCAGCCCAGCCCAGGGCGGCGGCCCCAGGCGTCACGTACGGAGGCGTGTACGTCGCCGTGGCGGTGCAGACGTTGGGCTTCAACGCGGACGCCTTCCGCGACCTGGTCACGCGGCTGGGAGGTGGTGAGGACACCACTTTGGCAGACCTGTTTTCCGTCTTCGAGGCCGACCTGAAGACCGCCCTGGCAGCCACGACGGGGTCAGGCGGCCAACCGCTCACGGGGATTGAGCGCGGCCGTTTTGTGCGGCAGCTGGGTGAGCTCGGGGCATTGGGTGGCTTCGACCTTCCGCAGCTGGGCATCTTCACGCCGCAACGCCCGGCACCGGCAAGGGAGGAACCGCCGGCGGGGGTCCGCGGCCGGGAGCTCATCACCGTGATCATCCAGGGGGACCGGCGGGAGTACCGCATGCTCGATAAGGCCAAGCTCAAGGAGGTCGACGAGACTTTCGAGGCCACCAACGGCGGCCCCACGGCAGACTACGAAGACACGTCACCGGAGCAGATCTCTGCTTTGGCTTTCGTGCTGGCGCAGGACGAGGCCCCCTACACCGACTTTGGCATCTGGGGCCCGTTCGGGAAGCGGACCGCCAAGTTCCTCAGCTTCCGCGCCCAGGTCTTCGTCGCCGGCGAGTGGGTGACCAAGGTCGTGCAGGGCCCGCCAAACTTCGCGGCATGGCGCCGCGGCTGGAGGGTCTTCCGCACGGCTGCCCTGAAGCTCGGCCTCAGCGTGGCCGGCCCGCTCGATGCCTACGAAGAGGGCGTGCGGACCGTCTCGGCCTCGTTCCGGGACAAGTGGGGGCTGATCTGCGTGGTTGAGGACCACATGCGGTCAGAGCGCTGGGAACGCGTGCGGGTCCTCATCGAGCGATGCGTCTCCGCGGGGAGCCTGAAGCAGCGCTGGGACCCCAACAGGCCATGGGGAGCTGTCCTGGCATACAGTGCGTACGGCACGGGCGAGGAGGGGCAATGGTGGTACCGCCACCTCGACCTCCCGTGTCTCCAGAGCAGCGCAGTCAAGGCAGCTGCGGGCCGGGTCGCCGACGTCGAGGGCACGACGGGCCTCGAGCATATCGGGCTTGGCGCCGGCTCGGTCGAGGGGACGCCGCGAGGGGATTTCCCGGCTGGCAGGGACCGCCCCAGGCCGGCGCAGGAGGAGCCCGACCGCTCCCGCAAGCAGAGGCGGGTGGAAGCGCAGGTGACCCGCTTCCAGAACTTCAAGGAGAAGGGCGCCCGGCCCGACGGCCGCCACGTCATCGACGATGACGGCGTGGAGCTGTGCTTCGCCTGGAACCGCGATCGCACTGGGTGCGCCGCGGGGGCGTGCCCGCAGCGCCGCGGCCATCTTTGCGAGTGGTGCTTGGGGCCGCGCCGGGCCGTCGACTCGTCCTGCCCGAAGCGCCCGACCGATTGGAAGCCCCCTGAGAAGGGCGGGGGCCGGGGTGCTGGCAGGGGCGGCCGGGGGCGGCGGTGAGCCGCCGAAGAGCCCCCCGTGACGGCGCATCGCGCAGGCGCGGGGGGCGGCGAGCCGCCCCGGCTCTGCCGGGACGCGGCAGTACCCTTACCAGGACATCCCCGAGAAGATCAGCGGGCTGCCCAGGAACCTCCCGCGCTGGAGATTTCCAGGAGCCTTTCTGGGGGCAGCGCGGCACCGAATCGGGCAGCACCCGCGTCGCCATCCCCGCCTCCGGCGCTGGCGTGCCATCCAGCGGCCCGGGCCATCGAGCCAGCTGGCGCATCATGCCCGGGCCGCGCATCGCACGCCCGGGCGGCGCAGCCGTCGGAGGATCACGCAGCGGCCCCCCCTGCGCCGGCTGCGCGACTGCTGCCAGGACAGCCAGACCAGGATCCGCACGACCGGGCAAGGGTGTTGCCGCACCCTCTCCGCGGCACGGCGGATCCCAGTGCCCGGGAGCGGAGGTCCGCAGAGGACGGGGTCTGCACGGCAGGGTTGCGCAACCCCGCACAAGTGGTGTCTCAGTGGCCGGAGCTGCGCCAGACAATGGCAAGGGTGAGGGCCGCCCTGCTCCCAGTGCGCGCGGGGCCCCGGGAGCTCTGGGGCCTTGCAGGGGCGTGCGGGGAACGCCGGGCACGGGCACCGCCGTCAGAGGCGGCCGTTGACCTTGCGCGTCGGGCCGTCGGCGCCGCGCTTGGCCTCGACCGGCGAGCCGTGGGCGAGCACCATCCGTCGCCCCCTCTCCGCCACCGCATTGTGCAAGCCGTGCTCAGGCAGCCCCATGACACGGACACGCACGTGGGGGCCTGGCTACAGCATGGCGCGCCCATGGGAATTGTGCTGGAGGTCGCTCCTGGAGGGCACTTCCCCCTGGCGCCGCCGCCTGCTGTTCTGTCGCCCCGCGCCAGTGGCATGCCACCAGTGGCTGGGAATAGCGTACGCGACCTGGGCAGGTTGCTCTGTGATGGCCCTGACATCCGAGTTCGTTGGCGCCTTCCTGGGGTCGCTGCAGCCGTTCGCAGGCGGCGCGCCCTGCGCGCCCTTGGCGGCGGCGCGTTCCATCACTGGCAAGGGCTCGCGCGTGGCGCAGGTAGTGCCGACTGCAGCACCTTTCACCGCCATGCTCTGGGCCGCCCTCACCGCCAGCGCACGGGCAGTGGAAGAGGGTCGCCCGGAGGCCCCGCCAGGGCACGTGGCCGTCGCGCGCTTTCGGACAGCCGCGCGACGGTTCATGGCCCTCCTGTCCGAGCCGACGGACCTCGAGAGGGCGGGGCAGCCATGGCAGCCGCGAGGGCATGAGTGTTGTGTCTTTCCATTGCAGCGGATGGTGCGGCCAGCGTCAGACGCGCAGGCCCTCCCGCCAGCGCCAGTGCTGGCGACCTTCGACGCATCACCCTGGGGCCGCGGTGGCATCCTTTGGCGCGCCGCCGAGCCGGTGGAGTACTTCGTGGTCACGTGGGACTCCACGATCCTCGCGTTGTTCGAGGCGGAGGCGGGTGTTTCACGCTGGCAATTGTTATGGGGATTCGTGACGCTGCTGGTGTGCCTCCTTCTCTGGGGGCGCCACGCGGTGGACCATGTCCTGACGATCCACGGTGACAACGTCGCTGCTCTCCAGGACGGCCTCGCGATGAAGGGGCGCGGCCGCATGCTGGATGTCGCGCGCGAGATCGCGTGGCGCAAAGCACGCTACAACTGGACGTTCACGACAGCGCACATCCCCGCGGAGCTCAACGACGATGCTGACGCCTTGTCGAGGCTGACGGCTGCGCCGCCAAAGAAGCTGCCGGGGCGCTTACATTCGGTGCCACGGGCCTCGGTCCCATCGTGGCGCCAAGCGTTCCAGGCCATGCGGCCGCCGTGATTTCCGCGGGGGGGCGTTTGCCGGGGCGCTTACATTCGGCGCCGCGGGCCTCGGCCCCATCGCGGCACCAAGCGCTCCCGGCCATGCGGACGCCTTCATTCCATAGTTTCGCTGTAACCGAGGGGTGCGTTTGAAAATGGCGCTGGGGAAAAGATGCCCTCCGGCCCCCCGTCGCGCCTCTTTTCGGGCCCCCTCCCCGAGACGGCCCGGGCGCCGTGCCAGGGCACGCGGAGGCCGAATTCTGAGCGCCCCTGCATGCGCGCTCAGAATTCCCTGGGGCGGCTCCGGCGGCCGCGTCTGGGCACCCGCCGCCGCCCGCGCCCGGTTTTCTGCAGAGTTTTTTTGAAAACTCGGCAGAAAATTACGCGGGACATCCCCGCAATTCTGGGGGGCCCTGGCCGACCCTAGGTCTTCCGGCGGCGGAGGCGGGCCCCGGTGCGCCGCCGAGTTTTCAGTGGAAGGCCCCCGGGCGCCGCCAAGTTTTCAACTTAATTTTCCCCGGGGCGCATTCTGCGTGGAAAAATCAGCACTTCCTGCGCGCCCTCAAAGTTTCAAAAAATGCATGTTTCGTCTGTTCGGCATTTTTTTGAAATTTCGGGGCCTGGCTGGATCAGGTGTGTTTTTCCATGCGAAAGCCGCCCCCGGCGGATTCATCTTGAATGCTGGACGGGCGCCCCCCGGACGTCCCCGGCCCACCCTGGGCCTGTCTCGGCCCTCCCGAAATCGCCCGCTCGGGCATGCGTCGACCTATTCGCAGCCATCGTTCCCCGCCCATTCCGCTCGTGACCCGAGCAGCCATCTCGGAGTCAAATGCGCGAGGTAAGAAGGCGCCTCGATGTGGCCGACGCCGCGCCTCCGACGCGGCGTCATCGGGGGGGGCCATGCGGGCCCATCGGGCGCCCCATTAACCCCCGGCACATCCTCATGCCGGGGGTTGGGCCCCAGCCGGCGCGCCATTGGGCGCTGCGCTTGCCGCCGGGCTTAGCGGGCTCCCCGCGGCGCTCCCGGCACATCCTCATGCCGGGGGTCGGGCCCAAGCTGGCGTGCCATTGAGTGCTGCGTTTGCCGTCAGTGGCCGTGGCAGGGAAGGCTATCCACCTGCCATCCCGGCGCTGCGGTCCGACGCACCTGGGCGGGCGGCATATAGACGCGGATCCCTCCCAGACGTTCGCGACGCGGCGGGGCAGCAGCTGGCCCTGCACAATTTCGACGCGGACGTCCTGGCCTCGACGTCCCGTGACACCGAAGCCGCCAAGGCCCGCACCATCGACGCGATCTTCGACATGCGGGGCCTGACGCACCCCCCGCTCACGGTCGCATCAGTCCGGGCCCTGGGGGCATCACTGAAGCTGGGCGGGTACCGATCTGCGAGATCATATCTGGCACTAGCGAGGAAGCGCCATGAGCAAGGATACCATCCGGTCTCGCCGGCACTGGCGCAAGCGCTCAAGGACGCACGCCGGTCCTGCGAGAGGGGCCTCGGCCCGGCACGGAAAGTTGAAGGCTTGCCGCTGGGGCAGCTGGACCGGCTCCCGCGAGGGAACGAGGCGTGGGTCCCCGGGGGTCCGCTGGCGCCGTTCCGCACGCTGGTCGCCGGCTGCCGGTGGCTCACCAGAGAAATTGAAATCAGCACAGCGCCAGCGGCAATGGTCACTTTCAGGATGACCCCATCAGGCCTCCAGGCCTCTTGGTTACTTCCCGCTTCCAAGGCGGACCCATCGGCTTTGGGCCAGGAGCGCACGCGTGGATGTTGCTGTGGGTCTGGCGCTTTCGCGAACGTATGCCCAGCGCACGCCCTGTGGGCCCAGCGTGCCACGCTGCGTGCACTTTTTCCTGACCGCCACGACGAAGCAGGCATGCCGAACCTCGACCTTCCGTTGTTTCCGTCGGCGCAGGGCACCGCGGTCTCCAAGGAGGCCGTGGTCGCGACCATCCAGGAAGCCGCGCGCCGCTTGGGCTTGTCTGCAACTTCGGCGGACGGGTGGCCGTTGTGGTCAGGGCACAGCCTGCGCGCTGGGGGTGCACAGTCCCTCGCGCAGGCAGGGTTGGATATCTGGATTATTCAGCTCCTGGGGCGCTGGGGCTCTTCGGTCGTGCTGGAGTACGCGCGGCAGGCCCCCCTGCTGGCATCGCACACGTGGGCTGCGAGGGCATCGGTCACGGCTCGTCCGCCGGCGGGCGAGGTGATGACGTCTCCGCAGCTCGTCACGCTACGAGCTGCCCGGCAGGCCCTGCAGCGCCGCCGGGCACGCGCCCGCCCCTCGGGCGAGAGTGCGCCGTCTGCCGCGGCTGGGCGCGACGCCCCCGGTGGCTCGCAGGCAGCTCCCCCCGTGGACTCGGACGCCGTGGACGCTGCGCTGGAGCCCCTCCGGGAGCGGCTGGGCGCCTTGGAAGTTGCGGTTCCAGCAGTGCGGTTGGAGCTGTCTGAGGTGCGCGGGGCACTCGAACTCGAGGTGTCCCGCCTCGTGTCTTCAGACGCGGAGGACGCGGCCCTTGCGACATCCTTGCGGGGGCGGGTTGAGCAGGATATGGAGGAGACTTCCCCGTTGGAAGGTGTTGTGCTCATGCAGAACACCGTGAAGAACCACGTCGGCATCGATGGCTTCGTCGCGCACGCGGCCCTGGCGGCCGAATCTGGGCCACCAGAAGCGCGCACTGGGATCGCGAGATGCCTCTGGCAGTTCGGCGCCGGCGTGAATGCGGCCCGGGTCCACGCGATGCCGGGCATCTACAAGCAGCTCTCCGAACGTTGCTTTCCAGAGCTGAGGGGCGTGCATAAGAAACGAGCAGCCCTGCGGGCGAAGGCTATTCGCCGTCACGGTGGTGAGATGGGGGCTCAGAGTTCTCGCACCCCGTGACGTGCCATCGCTTTCGCCACGTGGAAAGAGAGATCGCCTCTGCTATGTCGCACGACACCCTGACATCCCCAAACATGGGCGGCCGGGCTGGGCAGCCGCCCACACGTTTGCAGCATAGTTCAGTTGTGAACGGGGGTGCAATGAGGGCGGGCGGCTTGGGCGTGCAGCGAGGCGCGCACTTGTCGTGGCCATTTTGGGTCCAGTCGCGCCCGCTTTGATTCCCCACCCCCCCATTTCCCGATGCTTTCTGTCCAGGGGCTCAGAGTTCTCGCACCCCGTGACGTGCCATCGCTTTCGCCACGTGGAAAGAGAGATCGCCTCTGCTATGTCGCACGACACCCTGACATCCCCAAACATGGGCGGCCGGGCTGGGCAGCCGCCCGCGCGTTTGCATTCGGTGGTTTCGCGATGGAAAGCGTGACGTTACCACACCAAACATCGATGAACGTCCTGGGATCTCAGGGTTGGGTTTCGTGTGGAATATCTCTTGTGGACTGGCCTCCACTGCATTGCCCGAAAGCAGTCACCCGCCCTCGAAAGTTCGGGCTCGTCTAGTGCGATCAAGGGACACATGTTCGAACTGGAGCGAGCGAAGGCCACCATGAGATGTCTCGCTTTCGCCGCTGAGAGGGTTGCGAGGCTTGCCACGCCCGTCGTCCGTCGTCCCATCGTGCGAGTCGATCGTGACAAGCGCGTGCGCAAGCCCACCTCGCATCGTTTTTGTAGCATTTCCTGGAGAGGATTGTCTGAACAGGATGCTGGAGGCAAGCGTCGACCCAGTCCTCCCTCAAGTCCCTCTCCACCTGGGCGTGCGACCCCCAGGAATATGGGCCTGGTCGAGTGGATCGACCGCGTGGCCATTCGCTCTCGATGCGGTGCGCAGGCCGTCAGACCCAATCGATTGTCCGTCGGCCTCTGTAGGGTCTGTCCTCGGGGCGGGGTGAGCGGCGGGCTGGGTCGACGAGTCCAGTCTATGTTGGAGGCGGCCCAGCGGGGGCTCCACCCGAATTCGGGGGAGCGGCTGGGGCCGCGCATCTTTTCAGAGTTGGTGCCTGTCGCGGCGGCGCTTGTGGGCGACTGCGAGACGCCGTAGGCGGGGGCTGATGCCGCTGCCGCCGCCATCCCTTGAGGTCTGCTCGGGGATGGTTTCCTTTGATGCTGTGTCCTCGTGGTTCACTTAGACTCTTAGCTCTTGTACTCTTATGCTCTCTCCCACGCCCCCCATCCCAGCCCCGCCTTCCCGCCCCCCTCCCTTCCCTCTCCCCCCTCCTTCCTTTTTTACCATGGCGGCGGAGGTCTCGAGGGCTTGTGGGGCCGCTCCACTGCATCTGCGATTGCCAAGGTCCTGGTTCAATGGGGTCCGCGAGAGGGAGGGCCCCCCTCCTCCCCTTCGCCACTGCACCCTCCTGCCTGCCTCCTCTTCTTCCTGCCCTCTCCTCATCCTCTCCGTTTTGCCCCTTCCTGCTTCTTCCACTTAAGCGGTAACAGCTGCCCTCTCTCTGCCTTATTTCCCGTTGCCATTTGGCTCGCTTCAGCTAGCATTCCGCGCCCATGTTAGACGCGTGCTCGCACCGTTTGCCGACGTGCTCTGCGTGCCGAAAATACGCGTTCACATCCCGATCTTTGTCTTTCAGTTGGCAGTGGAACTTCGGTTCCGAGATCCACTGTCGCCATTGCCCGCGTTGTTTTCTCTTCCCGCCCCGCGCCGATCGCGATGGTTGACCATCATCACTGCGTTATTCAACCTCATGAAGGACATCAGTTTTACGGTGTCCATGTTCGGGCTCGCCGAGCCTTTCGTGTTCAATCATCCAACCCATTACTTTGCTGGATCGTGTTCGCGATGCTCTACCTGCACCTTTCGAGGGGGCGCTACCTGTAATTCTCTCTGATCATCGACTAACGCTGTCTTTCGGGCTTGCCGCGACCTTGTATGAGCAGCTCGCGGACCCCGCGGTTTCATGGCTTCCGCCAGTGCGTGTCGCTTCCGACGTCAAACAGTTGATTGTCACAACGTTCACGGTGTTTGCGAAGGGCCCCCGAGCTACCTTTGACTACGGAAACGACGT